GTTGGTTTTCCAGTTCCTTCATGAAGAGAGGATAATGAAATCTATCACAAGCTTTTTTTTTTTTTTCCACCTTCTTCTTCCCTTTTTGTGATGTTGGGAAATCAAACCCTGGGCCTTGCACATGCTAGCTAAGCACTTTACCACTGAGTTACATTCTTCAGCCCTTGTTTTTTTGTTTTTGAGATGGTGGTCTTGCCATGTTGCCCAGGCTGATCTGGAGCTTCTAGGCTCAGCTGATCCTCCCACCTCAGCCTGCTGAGTAACTGGGACTATAAGCACATTACACCACACCTAGTTTAAAATTTACTTTTGAGTCAGGTATAGTGGCACTTGCCTATAATCCCAGCAACTGGAGAGGCTGAGGCAGCAGGACTGCAACCTTGAGGCCAGCTTTAGCAACTTAGCAAGACTCTGTTTCAAAATTTAAAAAAGGACAGGGGATATAGCTCAGTGGTAAAGTACCCTATGGGTTCAATCACCAGTACCCCCCCCCCCAAAAAAAAAAAAACCCAAAACAAAATAAAAATTACTTTTGATCTTGAGCCACATAGTGGATACAAGATTTGCTTAATTGGGCAAAGCAAGTACCCATGAAGCAGTCTTTTGCTGTCAATATCCAGGGAGACCTTTGGAGGGACGACATGTAAGATTGGGGTGGGTAGTGCAGTCCAGTTCCACCTGAAAGGCAGTTAGGAGGAAAACAGGCAGAAGAGCATCTCTACTTTCAGTAGCTCTGAGGAGTGCTCCCAACCCTAACTCCATGTTTCTCTGGGATGCTTTTCCTGACATTTCTACACCAATTATCTCCAAGCTCTTCACACTTGAGGGAAGTGGCCTTCAGTAAAGGCAGCCCCCTACAGCATGGAAACATCTCCACATTCGTTGTTAGAATCTCTACTAATAACTCAACTTCTGGTTGCTCAATGGTCCAGGTGTCCTCACCTTTTGGTTCCCTACTGGTCACTGAAACATCCTAGTTGGCCAGCCTGAACTTTCTAAATGTTCCCCTTCACCTGTCTGCCCATCCATCTATCCATCCATTCTTCAATTCAAGAAATATACACTGAGATCTAATATGATGCCAGGCATCATTCTAGATGACTGGAAGCAGATAATAATCAAGTAAAAAAAATTGGGGGGAGAAGTAATGGGGATTGAACCCAGGGGTGCATAACCACTGAACCACATCCCCAGCCCTTTTTATTTATTTAATTTTAAATCAGGGTCTTACTAAATTGCTTAGGGCCTTGCTAACTTGCTGAGGCTGGCTTTGAACTTGTGATCCTCCTGCCTGTCTCCCAAATTGATGAGATTATATACATGTGTCACCATGCCCAGCTCAGAGGCCTTTAAGGTTAGGGGATCAAACCTAAGGCCTTCCTTATGGTACAGCAAGTGCTCTGCTACTTGGCTTCACCCCCAGCTTTATGGGTACTATTTTAAAGAGGTATTCAAGGAAGAGGAGATCTGCAAATAGGATTCATGCAATTATCTGAGGGAAATGTGTTCTGAGCAGAGAATGACAATTCAGCTCCATCCAGGGCACAGGTGATTCGCAGGGATTGAAATGAAAGACAAAAAGTGAACATGCACTTTTTTCTTTCCTAAATATAATAAGCATATAAAATTTATTATAAACTGAGCTGGTGTTTTTCAAATGTTTCTGCCATTCACAGAAATGTATTTTATATTGCCATTTTCTGTGTCCATGAGTAAGTTTCACACACAGCCTAACTTTATTACATATTATATATTCTATTTTACATTCTCTTGCAATTAAAAAAAATCTGGTTATAAATTCATTTTATGACTTAGTAGTTTGCATTCTGGGTTTAAACTAGTTTGAGCATGTTCAGACTCTGGCAAAAACCTTCCCTTTCCTGGGTTTACCACAGTCCTAACAGGTTGTGTGTTGTCTTCAAATGTCAATTGCAGTGGGAGAGCACGTGTGCATTTAAGTTTGTGTGTACCAGGTAATACTCCAAGGTGACAACCCATACTAGACATCTTCTATTCTTCCTTTGATTTTGAGTGCAGTTGGTTTTAGTTTCCCTCAAGCTTAAAACTGGAGGGTTATTTCAGCATTAGAACATCAATCTGCAGTACCTACAATCAGAATGCCGTCTTTATACGTCATGGGAAATTCTGGCTCGTAAACGCAAAAGGAAATTGCATGGAACTCTCCTTTAAATATGCTTTTTGGAATAACCCCACAGATACACACCTACTCATGTACATATTATACATACATTTCTTTGTTAGGGGTGGGGAGTGGGAAACTGTTCCATTAACTATTTTTGTTTCAGCTGCAATTCCTGGGGCACATTTTTGAGCTGTGTAGTGCTGATGTGAATCTCACCTATGGAACTGAGACAAGAGTTGGGGAACTGTCCATAAGTTACCATTGAATGACATCTTTTGCCTGGTGTGCCTGCTTTGACTGCAGGTCCACACCTGCGGTCTACCCTATGCTCTGCCCTATGCTCTGCCTGACCTTTACATTGTATGAAAATATGATCTTCCAGTCCTCTTCACCCATGCAGAATCATTGTGATTCACCCTAACTGGGCTTCCCTGAGAAGCCTCCACAATGAATAATATGTGGGCACTTGACTTTAATAAGTATCCAAGGTCTGTTGGGAGTTAATCAGAGTACAGGCATGGAAGAGATATTGTGGTTTAAACAGCTGAGAGTATGAAATCTAAGGTCAAGGGCCAAGGGAGGGAGAAAAAAGAACAGATGGAAGAATAAGAGATACAGTGGTACACTTAATTATTTCAGAATAAGGATAGGTCAGAAATGGGCCTGTGGTACTTTTCTCCCTTGAAAGCAGTGTCATAGGAGCCAGTAAGACGACATTTTTTTTTTAAATGTTTAGTTGTAGGTGGACACAATACCTTTATTTTGTTTATTTAACTTTTTTTGTTTTGTTTTACTATGGTGCTGGAGATTGAACCCAGTGTCTCATGTGTGCTAGGCAAGCACTCTACCACTGAGTCACAACCCCAGCCCAAGAAGACACTTTTGGTATGAACTAGGATTTATCCTTAAGTCTAACAGCAGGAGAGAATACCAGCAGTCATTCCAGAAAAAGCATCAGATTTCAGTATCTGCAGACTAGGCTGGGCAGAGCTCAGGGAAAAAAAATCACTGTGCCGAGCAGCCTGGGGAGTTTCAATCTTTGTGTCTAATTCTTGGTTGCTGCATGATAGAGCTCTAAAGCAACACATTATGCATGACTGAAACCTTGTTATGGCTTGGAAAGTCAACAAATTTAACTGATTTCCACCTGCTGTGGCAATTAGTTCTCTTTTCTTCTTAAAATTCCAAGTATCCTTATTACATTTAAATTGTTTGATGGATGTTGAAAAGAGATTTAACTGCAGTAAATTCACATCACACTAAGATGTCACATGTTCTGAAAGAGTGGGGCTCAGAACATTAAGTGTTGTCATTCTGCTGACCCTCAGAGTATGTTACTGTAGTCAGGCACATTTTTTCAAAAGTTGGTGATGGGTTTTTCCCCTTTGTTTAAGTAGTTAATAACAAATTCTGGCTATTAGAATTTGTGAAGAATTAGCTGGGCACAGTGGGTGATGCCTGTAATCCCAGAAGTCTGAGAGGCTGAGAAAGGAGGATTCAAAGTTCAAGGCCAGACTCAGTAACTTAGTGAGACCCTGTCTCAAATAAATAAATAAAAGGGCTGGGGATGTAGCTCAGTGGTTAAGTGCCCCTGGATTCAATTCCTGGTACCAAAAAAAAAAAAAAAAAAGAGTTTTTTCAAGATTACAGTTAAAACACTAGATAAATCATTAAATACAACCATTTCTTCCTAAAATTTCAACTGTAAAACCAACCCAATAATTGAGTTCAGGGATAGGTTTTTTTTTTTTTTTTTTAATTTTTTAGTTGTCAATGGACCTTTATTTATTTATATGTGGTGCTGAGAATCGAACCCAGTGCCTCACACATGCTAGGCAAGCGCTCTGCCACTGAGCCACAACCCTAGTCCTCAGGGTAGTTCTAAAAACATTTGAGCTAATGAACTGTTATGAGCTGCACGACAGAGGGCTAAAGCAATACATTATGCATACTTAATACTGCAGTATAAACTAATTCATACACATGTGGACGAGATATAAATATCTTATACAAATTTTTTTTTTGGCAACAAATATCTGAAATATATAGCTAAGATTAGTAAGAATGAGAGGATAACTATCTCACACCCAACATCCCAATAAGCAATTTTACATTGTGTCTCTGCACGACTCAGTCCACTGTTTACTAAACCACATTACTTTAAAAGTACACTTTGTTATACTTACAGCATAATGATCACTCTTCAACAATCATACTGACAAAGTGGTATTGCTATTATGGTCTAAAAGTTACTAAAACACATTTCATTTGTACTTATTTTTTTAATAGTTTTAGTTTACCTTTTTTTGATGTGGTACTGGGGATCGAACCCAGGGCTTCACACATGCTAGGTAAGCACTGTACAACTGAGCTACAACCCCAGCCTCATTTCTACTTACAAAAAAAAAAAAAAAAGATCAGAGCACAAACAAGCTCAAGATTCAATCCAAAGGATTAGGAAACCTAACTAAATTAGTAGACAACTCAGAGAACAAGCCATCTCAGGAAAATGTTGGATCTCATGGAAACATGGTTTGGTATAGCTGTGGGTGAAGTAAGAATGAAGTTGTTTCTCAAACATGAGGCTTCATTTGTAATCAGATACTGGAAAACTTAAATGAAAGCTCTTTTTTCAACCTTGAACACTTATTTCTTATCAAATACAAACATGAAAAAGGATATGAGGAGGACCCCCAAGATAATCAGTGTGAAAATTCTCCTTCATAAGTAACCAGCTACTTGAAATTGTGATGACAAGGGGAATCCCAGTGAGTGGACTGCTTATACCTTTCTGAGTAGAAACAATTTTTGTCTATCACTGGAGGCAATTCCAACTTGGAAAATAACATGACAGTCCTGAGATTCATATTTTATTTACAAGTCAATGAAAAATGTCCTCTGTAAACTCTAAGATATGAAAAGCAATATAAAGACACGGTTGCTGGCTCCACAGTGACGTGTGTGAAAGGAGTCCATGCCACTATTTATTCAAACAATGATTCTGTTATTTAAAACAAAGAAAAAAACAAAAACAAAATCCCACATGATTTCTTCATGTTGCATGTGAAAGAATGAAAAATAAAGCTGACTTTTCAAAACTCTACAGTCTGTTCAAATGTATCAGGTGATCAAGATGTCACTTTCATTCAGTGACAGTCCCTACTCTCCAAAGCATAGCCTCTGAGCAATGACTTAATATTCATCAAGAGTATCTGCTCGAGGAATGGATAGACCCCGATCTTTAAGAGCTTGAACTTTCAGCTTCTCTGCTTCTAGCTTGGTCTGCTGTTCCACCCTCTGTTCTTCTAAGATTTCTTCAATAGACACTTGCTGGAGGGGTGTATCACTTTCCTTTTCCAAGTCCTGCAAAAGAGGCAGGTTTGAAAAACTTCCCTTAAAGACTGAGAATAAAGAACCTTACAGATCTAAAGCAAATGGATTTGATTCCTATGGCAGATTACTTTTCATTACTGTGACATGGCTAAAATATCCTTCTAGTACAGAAAGAAACAAAAAAGGCTGATAACATTACTACAGAATATATAACCAGAACATGGTAACAGATCAGTATCGGTGTATATAGCAAAGTTTTAAGTTAGCCAAAATCCCATATTAGTCAGGATTAACTTTATTTATTAAAGAATTAACTTTTCTTTTTTGCAGTACTAGGGACTAAACCAAGTGAGTACTCTACCACTGAGCTACATCACCTTCCTATTTTATTTCTGGTATTGGGGATTGAACCTAGGGGTGTTTTACCACCAAGCTACTTCCCTCCAGAATCAGAGTCTCATAAAGTTGCTGAGGCTGGCCCCAAACTTATGACCCTCCTACCTCAGATTCCCAAGTTGCTTGGATTGCAGGTGTACGCCACTATATCCAGTCCCTTTTTGAGACAGGGTCTTGCTAAGATGTCCAGGCTGATTTTGAACTTGCAATCCTCCTGCCTCAGCTTCCCAGCTKCGGGGATTGCAGGTGTGTGCCACTGTGCCTGGAAACTTTTCTTTAAAACAAAATTATTTGGGCTGCTTATAAACAGCTATCTCTTCAACTGTACAGAATCCAAGAAAGTTACTAAGGCCAAAATGGCTTTATTTATTTTTTGTGGTGCAAGGGATAGAATCCAGAGTCTATCACATTCCCAGCCCAAGAGGCTTTACATTGTATTTTTCATTTCCAAAGTCAGCTTAATTAGGTGGAGGTTGTTGCTCAGTAAAAAGTATAGAATGCTGGGTATGGTGGTATGCACCTACAATCTCAGAGACCTGGGAGGCTGAGGTAGGAGGATCACAAGTTCAAGGCCAGCCTCAGCAATTTACTGAGACCCTGTCTCAAAAACTAAAAAGATCTGGGGACACAGTTCAGTGGTAAAACACCTCTGGGTTCATCCCAGTATCCCTTGCCAAAAAAAAAGTAGAGAACACTGATTCAAGTCAGCACCACCCTTCCCACTTTTATTTTTCTTTTTTGGTATTGTAGATCAAACCTAGGAGCATTTAAACACTGAGCTACATCTTCAGCCTTTTTAAATTTTTTTATTCTGAGACAGGGTCTCACCTTGTGATTCTCCTGCCTCAATAGCCTAAGTAGCTGTTATGGGTCTGCACCAGTGACCCTGGTTTCCCACCCTTCTTTATAAACAATAAATGGTTCTTCCTTTAGGAGTTTCTAAATTATAATACAAAGGACCAAGAAAGTATGTAGGTCAGTGGCAGAGCACTTGCCTAGCATGTATAAGTCACTGGGTTTGATTTCTAGCACCACAAAAAGAAAAAAAGAAAAAGAAAAAAATACAACACAAGACTCTTTCCTCTTTTATGACAAGTCTATAGAATACTTTAGAAGACCAGCTGAATTACTAAACCAGGTTGGTCCCAATGTATTTCTTTACTATTTTAATTTTAAAATACTTTGCTTAATAAAAAAATTATTTTTCCTTATTTCAAAAATAATTCCTCATTGTAGGAAATTTAAAAAATAGGCAGAGAAGCAGAAAAAAATTTAAAAATTACCCATATTTCCAGTATGAAGGATTAATACTTCGGTGAATATCCTTAAAAAAAAAAAAATTTATTTTCCTTTAGGGATTGAGCCCAGGGGCGTTTAACCACTGAGCCACACCCAGGCCCCCTCCCCTACTATTTTTTTGTAGTCAGGGTCTCACTAAGTTGTTTAAAGTTTGGCTAAATTGCTAAGGCTGGCTTTGAACTACTTGTGATCTTTCTGCCTCAGACTCGGAAAGTTGCTGGGATTATAGGCGTGTGCCATAGCATCTGTATTTTAGAAGATGAAAACACACACACACACACACACACAAAATAATGCAAATATTGACTTTTTTCATTGAATATAGCATGTTTTATATTTTTATTTTTGAATATCTTATAAATATTTGATACACAATTTCAAAATGCAGAAGAACTTTGCTACAAATGTATCTCACTGTGAATAGTGAATTAGAATTAACATACAGGGATTACTGTGTTTATAACATGGAAAGCCTATACAAAGCACTCATTTCGTATTTATTTTCCTCTATCACTCTCAATGATAAGGTTTGGGAAGGCACTGACACATACACAAACTCCATAGCTGTTCTAGTGTGGATACAAGTTAACTGTCACATGCTGCCAAGGTCTTAAAGCTCACAGGCAATAATACTGTCAGAGCACTTTCACCAGAGAAGTTAGGGTAAGTCACATACATATAAGCCACTGGTGCCCTGGGTCAAAGTTAATGGCACCCAACAAAATATATATTATCAATTATACCTTTCCTCACAATCTGTGGGTAGCAACTGGAGGGCAGTGTTCTTGGCATACAGCCTCTTGAGGTTTTCAATGTCATTCATGTGGTTAAGAAGCTGCTACTTCCCAATAATCAGTTTTATTACTTAAGGCTGTGTGTGGCATCATCCTTGAGGCAAAATCCAGGGACTTCTTAAGCAATGTAATGTTTATAGAATCTAAATGGTTTCTGGACATGAGTTTCCTTGGAGCTGGAAATTTCTTTTAAACTGATTGTTGATTTATATAATCATGTAAGCATTCCTCAACCATGTTTCTCTAGTGGTTAGTGTAAAACTTCTCAATCCAAACCATAACATGTTAAAAAACAAAAAAAAAAAAACAAAAAACAAAAAAAACCAAAAAACTCTTCCCTACAAAATGGATCCCAGGGAACAATGAATCTTCAAGTACATTTTTGGCTTGTTTTCAAATATATATACATCTACCACAGACACATTTTTGTACCAACATAACTGGTACGGAAAGTGTGTCTATAGTGCTAAACACTATAAAACTGAAGCAGAGTATGTGTAAATATTTTAAATTAAAGTCTTTCTCTCTGGTGTCAAAGTAATACCTTTCCTCTATAACTGGGTGTAGTGGCTCATGATAGTAATCTCAGTGACTCAAGAGGCTGAGACAGGAGGACCATAAGTTCCAGGCTAGTATGGGCAATTTAGGAAGGCCTTGTCTCAAAATTAAAACAAACAGAGAAACTGGGCCAGGAGTGGTAGCACATGCTTGTAATCCCAGCGGCTGGGGAGTCTGAGGCAAGAGGATCACAAGTTGAAAACCAACCTCAGCAACTTAGTGAGGCCCTAAGTTAGAGAGACTCTATCTCTAAATAAAATATTTTAAAAGGGCTGGAGATGAGGCTCAGTGGTTAAGAGCCCCTGGGTTCAATCCCTAGTACCAAAAACAAAAAACAACAACAACAAAAAACAAAACAACCCCCATGCCAATGTAATTCAGTGGTAAAGCATTCTTAGTCCCTCCCAACTCCAATCACCCTTAATCACCCTCAATCCTACCTATCTAATATAGCTCTTCTAATATACTAGCAGACTACTTTATAGTTCTTTACTAGACCCCCTCTCCTGGAGTACTAGGTGCTTTATTTCAACCTGTACATAAAATATGGTGATCATTTCTGCTGCTTAAACATGCCAGGAATGATAAACCAAACCACATATGCCAACCACAAAAAAAATTCATAAGTAAGAAAAAAGGCATTTTAAACATTTTACTGCAGCACTTGGGCAGTACTGATAGTTTTGATTAGTTATTTCTAGCTATTTCCACCATATCTCTGAACCAATCTGATTGACCCTGGCAAAATTCTCTCTCAAATGATCAATTGCTAAAAATTAGCTCTGAACCAAACCACTCTACTCAAAAGACTTCTGTAAACTGAATTAAGATGTGGCTAGGTATTGGGAAACTTTATTGAATAAAACAAAATAAAAATGGAAAAAATAAACACCAATGTCTTTGGTAAAGAACAGAAAACAGGGCTGGTTACCAGACTTTAATTTCTTTTTTTTTTCTTTTTTTTTTTTTTGTGGTGCTGGGAATCAAATCCAGGGTCTTACACATAATAGGCAAACTCAACCACTGGGCTGTACCCCTAGCTCAACTAGTCTTGTAGGGATCATCAGAATCAACAAGACTTAACTTGATAAAAGGTTTTAAGAAGATATTAAAAAAAAAAAAGGGTCCAAGTACTTTTCACATGCACACAATTTTTGCAGTACTGGGGATTGAACCCATGGGTGTTGTACCACTGAACTACATTCCCAGTACCACCCTCCTCTTTATTTATTAATTTTTGGTAACAGGGATTGAACCCAGGGGTGTTTTACAACTAAGCCAAATCACCAGCCCATTTATTTGGGTTGAGGGGTGTACCAGATTGAACTCAGTGGCACTCAACCACTGAGTCACATCCTCAGCCTTATTTTGTATTTTATTTAGAGACAGGATCTCACTGACTTGCTTAAATGCCTCTCTTTTGATGAGGCTGGCTTTGAACTCACAATCTTCCTGCCTCAGCCTCCCAAGCCGCTGGGATCGCAGGCATGCACCACCACGCCTGACTCTGGTTTTTGAGACAGGGTCTCACTAAGTTGTTAAGGCTGCACTCAAACTTGTGATCCTCCTGCCTCAGCCTCCAGAGAAGCTGGCATGACAGGTATGTACCACCATGCCTGGCTAAACAGTTTTATATTTATAAAATAGTTTTCCTATAGTATAAAGACACACAGATCCACAGCAATATCACTTTGGAAGATTAACTTTTTGTTGTTGGTATTTTTCACACTGGGGATTAAACCCAGGGGTGCTTTACCATTGAACCATACCTCTGGCCCTTTTTAAAAATTTTTTATTTTGAGACAGATCTTGCCTTTGCTGAGGTTGGTCACTAACTTGCAATGGTCCTGCTTCAGCCTCCCAAGTCCTTGGGATTACAGGCATGTGCCACTGCACCCAGCTGATTTAACTTTTCACTTGCCAATTGTTCTTTCTGGCACAGGTACTTCCTTCCTGGCTATGATCCAAGGATCACAGCTGAGCTCCATTTTTCAGGATAGACAAAAGAAGGGCTTTTCGTACAGCCTTTTTTTCTCTTTCCCCCTTGAAAAATATGGACAATGTTATATATGCAATGTGTTCTTCCCTCAAACTCTGCTAATTAATTTTTGTTATGGAAAACCACTTTAATCAATTAAATGACTGCAAAATATTCTAACATAGGTAACCTATAAACCAACAACATTCATCGAAAGTCTTTTTGATTTTCTGCTATTAGATATACACAGAAATTCTATATTAACAAACACATTTATATAGGACAATATATTTTTTAAAAAATTTTATTTATTTATTTTAGTTATTGATGGACCTTTACATGTGGTACTGAGAATTGAATCCAGTGCCTCACACATTCGAGGCAAGTGATCTACCACTGAGCCACAACACCAGTCCAGAGCAATATTTTTATATCAGGTAAAATCACTGATATTTTGTTCATGGGATCAAAATATTTAAATGCCCAAAGGCACTGAAACAAAGTTAATTTTTCTGGGTAGCTTTCCTAATTTGGTGGGTGCCTGTGATAAACAAACTCAGTGATATGTGGAAAATATTTTTTTCCTCTTGAAAAGACAAAAGAAACCTAACTAGTATGAATATCAAGATCCATAGTAGCTTAACAGTTTTCACTTACTATTTCTCCTAGTAGGACCACATTTTCTCCTCTGACCACAAAAATCCCTCGAGGAATATCACCGTATTTTTTGCCCACATGAATACGCTCCACAGTCTGATGTAGCACTAAGTTAGCTATAAGTGTATAGGAAAAAAACAAAGATATTTAGTACACATGATTGGATAAAGGTCCATAACTCAACTATTCAGTGATTTTGAGTAGAAAAGATTCAGCTAAACATGATTTCCAAACTTTTTAATTCTAGGAAGAACAAAAATTTCAAATAATCTTCTCTTTCACTGAGAAGAATTTTAAACAATTGCAAGTAGATTAGTTGGGATTATGTTGCACTAATCCATGAATGGCAGCAGAAATAAGTTATGAAAAATAAATTCCTTTAATGGTTAACTGCTTGTATCAACACAGTTATGAAAAAAATAAGTGAGCCAGGTATGGTGGTGCATGCCTATAATCCCAGCAATTTGGGAGGCTGAGGGAGGAAGAAGTTCTAGGCTAGCCTCAGCAACTAGTGAGACACTGTCTCAAAATAAAAATAAAAAGGTTGAGATGTGGCTTAGTGCCTCTGGGTTCAATCCCCAGTATTTAAAAAAAAAAAAAAAGAAAGAAAAAGAAAGAAAGGAAGGAAGGGAAAATATAGTACATGTATAAAGGCATAAATTGGCGTGAACATACTTGATATACAGATATGAAAAATTGTGCCCTAAATGTGTAATAATAATTGTAATGCTTTCCACTGCTGTTGTGTCTTAAAAAAAAAAAAAAAAAAGAAATTTGGAAAACTTGAATAATGGTAACAACCATTCAGATTAAAACTTAGGTTTTGAAATGAGACAGTGTTTCTTTGTGGTGTGGATATGTGTATATGATGCCTTACTGAAGATTTAACTTTGTTTCAGTACTTAGGATTCGTTTAAACCAATGCAAGTATCCATAAATTATGATATAGCAAAAACCTATTTTTCACCTTGGGAGAAAATTATAGTTGGTAATTCAAGAGTAAACTCAATATTCACTACTTATCCTTAAAGTACTCTGATTAATTATTTTTCTTCTTTGAAGTAGTAATATCTGTCATATTTGAAGCAAAGCAGAAATCTACGTTCATACATTTTTCTTTAGAGTCTCACTGTGTGGCCCAGACTGGCTTTGAACTCCTGGGCCCAAGTGATTCTCCTGCATCAGTCTCCCAAATGGCTGGGACTAAAGGTGTGTGCCACCATGCCCAGGTATTCATTCTTTTCTTTCTTTCCCTTTGTTCCCCCCACCTCTTTCTTTATTTATTTCTAGTATTGGGATTGAACCCAGAGGTGCTTATCCATTGAGCCACATCCCCAGTCCTTTTTATGTTATTTAGAGATGGGGTCTTACTGAGTTGCTAAGGGCCTCACTAAGTTGCGAAGGCTGACTTTGAACTCACGACCCTCTTGCCCCAGACTCCTGAGCTGCTGGGATTACAAGCATGTGCCACTKTGCCTGGCCAGCCTCCATACCTTCTAGAATTCTTTTTTTTTTTTTTGGCACACTGAGGATTGACTCAGGGCCTCACACATGCCAGGCAAAAGCTCTGCCACAGATCTATACCCCTTATCCCTTTGGTTCTACAAAAGTTGATGTGAACTGAAAAGTTTCTTGAAATGGAAGGAAACACATATCTCTTATTTTAGAAAAATGCACTCTGTAAAACAAAGATTGAGAATCCTGAGTCTAATGTATCCCTATAGGTAAAACATCGAGCTTAATGTTCCATCAAAATCTTCACGGAATGCCTTCTCCCCAATTTTCATTGAACAAGGAGAGATTACCTTCAGTGCAGGAAGTGCTTTGAAGAGAGTGGCACCCAAGCCAATGTACAAATGAGCAGCCTTTTCAGTGAACTGAGTTTATTTCTATCATTTGGCTCCCTCTAATGGGGGAAATAAAAAAAAAGTCCAAAATACTACTGTGAAAACCAGTTGCAGGTATATATGCTTGTAAATATACAAGCATTTGAATCACCTAATCATACTTACTTAAAACAGTTCCAATATGCCAGACACATATGAAAAATTTGCACAGAAATAAAGTTCAACATAAAATAACACCAAAAATGCAATGGGTGGCTGTTATTATACAGAGAATTAAAGGAGTCCATAATCAATACATACCAAATTGATCAATGCTTCTTAAAAAGCCTATAAGTGTCCTTCCATCTCGAAGCAGAACCAAGTGCTTTTCTGGAGAGAGGGAAAAGGATCTTTAAAATGAAAGATGTCAGCTTCAGTGAGTTTATACGATAAAAAAGAAAATAAAGTTAATAGCAGTTTAAGTATACTACTTCCTCTTTAATGGACTTAAGATGGAATTCACTGGGAAAAAACAGAGGGATGGCCAGGACAGCCTAGGACTTAAATTTGAAGATTGGTGGTAAAAAGAGAAACACAGTAGTGGCTAAAGAGGTAAAAACGTGCAGGGTATGGAGCCAGGAAGCCTAACTGGCTTCATACCCCGATGTTTGGCCCTTAAACCTTCACACTGTTATTTCAGTTTCTGTCTGTAAATTGAAAAATTTAGAAAGGTTTTCAATAAATACAATGCCTTGGGTTGGGGGTATAGCTTAGTAATAGAGCAAGCACTAAGTATGTGGGAGGCCCTGGGTTAAATCCGTAGCACCAAAACAAAAGCAAAAGCAACACCTCAGATATTTACAATGAGGACCTAATAAGCTACAGCATAATTCAATATTTATTAAGAGATACAAGCTATTCTGGGGTCTGAACACCAACCTTTTGAATTAATATTCATTGTAAGGGAACATAGATAAAAGATAACAAAATTTCAGCCAGTCGTTTCTTTAATGCCATGCATAAAATACTTTGTAGATGCAGAAAAGAGGGGCAGTGATTTTTGCCTTGAAGGAACTTGTCTTATTCCTTGGACTGTTCTTGCCGTAATCAAGCAAATTGTAATTATATGAGATTTCAGAGAAAATATAATTTACCTGGAGGAGGTATTCAAGTTGGATCTTGAAAGGTAAGTAATTTTTGGTCATGGGAAAGGAAAGAGAAAGRGAGAGAAAACTGTAAATTAAGCAAAAGGGACAAAAGGACTATATACCCCTATTATTGGCTAAAGGCTGAGGATGTGAAGGGAAAGAGCAGTAGTTAAAGTCAGAATAGTATTAGGGGCAGGTTTAAATTTGGATTTGAAATCGGACGTGGTGGCACATGCCTGTAATCCCAGCAGCTTGGGAAGCTGAGGCAGGAGGATTGTGAGTTCAAAACCGGCCTCAGCAATGGCAAGGTGCTAAGCAAYTCAATGAGACTCTGTCTCTAAATAAAATACAAAATAGGGCTGGGGATGTGGCTCTGTGGTTGAGTGTCCCTAAGTTCAATCTCCAGTAAACCCCCCCCCCATTTTGATTTGACTTCATAAGAAACACAAAAACACTGAAGACTAAACTAACAGAAAAGCAAGAGAAGTTATAAAGCTAATGCCTATCTGGGAGATCTCTTAAGAGATTTCGAGAAAGAAGCAGTCCAAATATGCTACTCAGATCATCTCTTCTGGGGAATAGTAAAGAGCAGAAGAGACGAAAAAATTTGCAAAAACCAGAGTTAGAGAAACCAAGAGAACAGAATTAAGAATTCAGGGACGATAGTATCACAAATGCTGCTGGAGAGAACTCAGAGGAGAGCCTTAGAATGATTACTTAGGAAGTAGTTTCAGTAGTGTGTTGATAGCAAAAAATTAAGATTGCAGAGGTAAAAGAAGGTGGTCAGGAAGTAGAGTAAAACGGAGACGATTCAAGATACCGATAAAGAGATGGAAGTTTGATGGGGAGATACAACTGAGGAAATATTTGAGATGGACAGACAATATAAAGGAAAGGATGTGGCAAGGACAAAGAGGCAGAAGACATGAAAGAAAACGTATAATGTAAGAAGATTCCAAAAGCAGTGGAAGGAAACAGTAATAACAGAAAGGGAGGAATACTTCCTACTCAAATGAGAGAATGGGTGAAAATACAAAAAGACTATGGGGAGGAGAAGAGGGTATATTCTGTGGGGTGGTGATGTATAGTCTGTATATCAAGTGGTTTCAAACTTTTTAAGAGGGTCCTGAAATCTACAAAGAGGCACAGATTAGAAGGCTTGAAAACAAAACATAATTTTTAGGAAAATGGAAGGGTGTGTTAGTGGTTTCAATAATTCATATATACAAGAAGAGGTGAAGGCAAAAGGGAAGAGCATCCTCAAGCCAGTAAAATAGAATATTTCATTACACCTTACAGGTAGACTACTTACAGAGTAATGTTTATATACATATTTGGTTCAATTTATACTACATTTCCTTTCATTAGCAAAATTAGTAATTTGGGTTTAAAAAACGATCTCAGATAACCATAAAATGAGAATGTAATCAAACAATCTAATTTTCATACTCGCACAGTAAATACAGAGATCACTGTAACTTGTTTGAAAATGTGTAAATCATTTTGCAGCAATTACAAGTTAATGAGGCAGATAATATGATTAAAATGATAAAAATGTTACTTCTTGAAGAATAATGCACAGATAAAAATTTTGATAAATACAGGTTGTCTGGCAGTGGTCTCTACTAACATAACCTGAAAATGCTAATGACCCTCATAGTAAAAGAATATTGCAAATGGCTACAGAACAGAAAGCCTACATTTACTGCTAATTTAAACCGACTGCTGTTGTCTTAATATTTTCATTTTTTGATGCATCCTTCCTCTAAATATTCTCATGTACCCACTAGTAACAACCTGGTACTTAGAGAAATTACCGCGGGAAACAGTGGATGCGGGACAAGTCGGGCCTAGGCTGCCACGACCCTCGGAACTAAAAATAAATTCAACAGTTTGCGGCTCACCAGCCCTAGGTCTGGTGAAGGTTGCGAGGGGCAGAACTGAGGTAGCAGGCAAGGAGGTGGCAAGCGGTGGGGTCCCGTGGCTGTGGAGAATTTCAAGGCAGAACACTCAGAAATGAGCTCAAAACATACTGCCCCCAGCTCTGGACTCATTCTACAAGTTCCCTCCAAAGAGGGCCGTGTTCCGGAGAGAAAGGGTCTCACTCCAGGCTTCACCGGGAGGAAATGAGCTACTCACTGTCGATGTCCTCGATGAGGCTGGCGGTGCCGGGCATATAGTTCATTTTGAGCTGAGATGAGGCTATAATGTACAGCGGCGATAGGCCAGCGTGTCCAATAGCTCTTTTTTCCCACCGCAGTCGCCGCCTCGGCGGGACCGGGACAGGAAAGCCTCTTTCCAGACCACCACTTCTGCCCCGGCTTTCAGCCGCCGGGGTCTGCCGGAAGCACCTTCATATTACCCCACCCACTTCCGGTATCACGTGCCTGCCCCCCGGAAGAGGTGGGGCAGTCGTGCGGTTCGGGACGGTGGAGTTCGGGGTACCGTTTCCCCATCCTGGAGAAATTAGGATGAAGGATCTAGATTGGATAGAGGGTGGAAAAATGTTTCCTTTCGTGTAAGGAGCATGGTGCCTCCTCTTGCTTTCCTGCTTCGAGACCAGGGAGTCACTGCCGTCCTCTACGTTCGGGACTCGGCAAAAGGGGCGGGTCAGCGCCTGGGATTGGCTGTTATCGTCCGACCCCTCTTACTGCTCTCCACTCTTTCTCTCCTGCAGGCGCCTGCGCAATGGGTTGGCCGTGGGGGGCGGGAAGCGCTTCGGGGCAGTGGAGCCCATGTCGGCCTTGAGGCGTTCGGGCTACGGCCCCAGTGACGGTCCGTCTTATGGTCGCTACTACGGGCCTGGGGGTGGAGATGTGCCAGTGCACCTCCCCCCGCCCATATATCCTCCCCTTCGCCCCGAACCTCCCCAGCCTCCCATTTCCTGGCGGGTGCGCGGGGGCGGCCCGCCTGAGACCACCTGGCCCGGAGAAGGCGGAGGTGGAGATGGCTACTATCCCTCCGGGGGCGCCTGGCCGGAGCCGGGTCGAGCTGCAGGAAGCCACCAGGTAAGCTTTGAAACATGTGGCTTGGGGGATCCGATAGGGGTGTTTGGTGGGGGAGTAGGCGAGGGTCCTTGCGCTTTTTGTACCTCTATGTTTGCAATGGCTCGGGTTTCATATTTGTTTTCCTTATGGGGAGTGGATTGGAGAGACAGACGAGAGACAGACTGGGAACATGGGTGGGAGAATATGCTTGTTTTCATTTTGCCCCTCCGTTTCTGCTTCGGCTGCAATAAGTGTATCTGTTTCATTAAGAAAGGAAAAAACAATATGCGCTGACTTCTAAGCTCAGTAGCAGGCTGGGGATCTGTCACCACGGAGCGATGTTGGGATGGAATGGCAGGGCTCTGCTTGAGCTCTGACAATTTATCCTGCGTGGCTAGAGTGACTGCAGCCCCCGTTGTCGCTCAGCAACCCCTCCCGCTGGGGGGAAGGAACCTGAACGAGGGGGAGGGAATCTGAGCATTTAGCCCTTTGCTCCTAAAGCTTTGCCCTGGATCGAATCACGAATAATCAATATCGTAAACATCTTTGTTTTATTTAATGTTCACAGCAACTACAAGTTAAATGTCATTACGGCATCCCTATTTTCAAATAACAAAGGCAGATTTGAGAAGTTAACGCATTTGCTTAATGTATTTGAACTTGTAACATTTTATTCTCTGTATTCCTGCCAGAAATGTGTTTCCGTTTTATTAATGTAGTATTTTTAGTAAGGGGCTATCTTTATAGAGTGGTGGCACACCTCTCTTTTCAGTTAGGAAGTATGGCAAAATCATTTGTTGAAAGTGTTATTAGCGAAATTCCCATACATTGTTGGTGGGATTGTAAAATGATGTAATGCTTTGGAAGATTGTTGGACAGTTTCTCAAAACATTAAGCATAGAATTAGTATATGAGACAACAAGTTCATTCCTAGAGAACTGAAAACATGTCCATATAAAAACTTTTGCACATATGTTGGTAGCACCGTTATTCATAACGAAAAATGGAAGTAACCCATACGTCCATCAACTGATGAATGGGTTAACAAGATATGGTATATTCATACAGTGAAATATTATTTGGATATAGAAAGGATTGAAGTACTGATGCATGCTGCAACAGGAATGAACCTTTAAAAGATCAGGCATCTTGGGTAAAGCCAGTCAAAAAGATTGCATATTGTATTGATCCATTTATGTAAAATATCCAGAGTAGGCAAATTCAAAGAGACAAAAAGATTAGTGATTGCCAGGGGTTGAAGAACAAGAGCTATTGATGAGTTTATGGATTTCTTTTTCTTCCTTATTTTTTTTTTCTTCCTGTGGTACAATCAGGTTGAACCCAGGAGCATTCTGCCTCTGAGTTACATACCCAGCTCATTTTAAAATTCCATTTTGAGTTGGCATCTCACTAAGTTGTCCAGGTAGTCCTGGAGCTTGTGATGTTGCCTTGGCCTCTCCAGTGGCAGGGAGTTGAGATTATAGGCTAGTGCCACTGCCTCTGGCTTTTTTATCTTTTTCTGGGTATAATACGGTTGGGAGTGGGGGCTGCTCTACTACTGAGCTATATTCCCCAGCCCTTTTTTGAGTTTTTGAGACAAAGTCTGGCTAAGTTGGCCTTGAACTTGCAATTCTCCTGCCTTGGACTTCTGGGTTGCTGGGCTTATTTGCATGTACCATACCACCACATCAGACTTGGTGTTTCTTTCTTTCTTACTTTCTTTCTTTTTTTAAGAGTTTCTTTTTTAGTTGTAGATGGACATAATACCTTTGTTTATTTTTTTATGTGGTGCTGAGGCTCGAACACAGCGCATGCTCACGAATGCTAGGCAAGTGCTCTAGCACTGAGCCACAACCTCAATCCCTTGGTGTTTCTTTTTGAGGTAATTTGTACACTTTTTTTTTTTTTAATATTTATTTTTTAGTTCTCGGCGGACACAACATCTTTGTTGGTATGTGGTGCTGAGGATCGAACCCGGGCCGCACGCACTCCAGGCGAGCGAGCTACCAGTTGAGCCACATCCCCAGCCCTAATTTGTACACTTTAAAAGGATGGGTTTATGGTATGCTAGTTATATCTCATAAAATTGTATGAGAAAAAAATGTGTAGCAGTGAGAATTTACTGTAAAAGAAAGATCTGGAATAAGTAAATTGTGGGACTTTTAATCCTATGATCTAGTGATGAAATGCTTGATTTATAGGTGCCCAGATTTAAAGATCAGTTGAAGGAAAAGAGAAGAGGACCTCCAAACTGCTTATTTACTTTTGTTAGACTTGGCTGTGTTAGCAAAACAGTGAATTTTCTGGGGTAGAGCTAGCAATGGGTTTGGATAAACCAGAGCAGTTAAGATTTTAGCTTTGTGTAGGGAGTTGTGAGGTGTGGTTGAAGTATAGGTGTACACATATTGTGGGTGATGGTGTTGAAATTGTTGGTAGATAAAACTGTATGTGTATAATTGGCATTTGTAAATCATTTTAAAAGTTTGTATTCTATCATTCAGGTCAAGGATTCTGAAACTTTAAAAGTATAGATTGGTAATTTCTTCTATAGCAGTAGAAAATGAATACAGTGCCTGTTGTCATAGATATTGCAAACTTTTTTTTTAATTCATTGTCTTTATTGGTTTTTATGTAAGTTTGATGTTTTTATATTGTTAAGTCTGTCAAACTAAAAATCAAACAAAATAGGAAAGTAAGAATTTTACTACTAAAAAAAGTCTTGGAAGCCTGTTAGAAATGCAGAATTTGCCCTCTTTTAGACTTACTACTGCAATGTATTGAGATTCCCAGGTGATTCATATACACATTTATGTTTTTATTTATGAGAAGCTTTGCACTATAGAATTGGATATATTGAGATGATGTTGCATTGAACCAGAATAAAGACTTGACTATATTAACATATTTAAATATGATAGGGCAAAATTGGAAATCTGCCACTCTCTCCATTTATTATTTATTTATTTATTGTAGTGCTGGGGCTTGAACTAGGGGCCTTTTTTAAATATTTATTTTTAGTTATAGGTAGACACAATATCTTTATTTTTTATTTTTATGTGGTGCTGGGGATTGAACCCAGTGCCTCATGCATGATAGGCAAGCACTCTACAGGTGAGCCACAACCCCAGCCCTTGAACTTGGGGCCTTTTATACATTAGGCAAGTGCTTTACCACTGAGCTACATCCCTAGCCCTCCATTATTTTTCCCCCCCAAAAGTAATTTTAGGGGGCTGGGGATGTGGCTCAAGCGGTAGCACGCTCACCTGGCATGCGGGCGGCGGGTTCCATCCTCAGCACCACATACAAAGATGTCGTTCGTGTCCGCTGAAAACTAAAAACTAAAAATAAATATTAAAAAATTCTTTCTCTCTCTCTCTCTTAAAAAAAAAAAGTAATTTTAGGAAAATTTACTTCAAAGAGTTAAACTTTTCTTGTTACCTATCCTTAAAGTATACAGTAAATATCCAGTATTTATAGCACTGTAGTTTGATCCTTGAACTAACAGCATCTGCATAACAATTGGAAATGGTTGGAAATATTTTGTCTCAGGCCCTACCCCAGATCTATTGACTCTGCATTTTATTTATTTATTTATTTTGGTAGTAGGGATTGAACCTAGGAGTGCTTTATCACTGAGTCACATCCCCAGCCCTTTTTATTGTATTTTTATTTTGAGACAGAATTGTACTAAGTTGCTCAGGGCCTCAGTGGGTTGCTGAGGATGGCTTTGAATTTATAATCCTCCTGCTTCAGCCTCCAGAGTCACTGGGATTTCAGGCATGTGCCACAGCCAGGCTTTGAAACTGCATTTCAACAAGATTTGTTGATGATAAGGTTTATATATAATAATACTTCTTTAAACTATCACCACTAAAATCAACAATATCTTCAAATTGCCAATCCAACAACTTCTTTTCAGTTCTCATACCACTGTCCTTGCCTGGTTTGTACATGACTTCTTGGAGTCTATTATTCTTCAATTATTTTCTCCCATAATATATATTTTTTAGTATTTTTTTTAGTTGTTGAAGGACCTTTGTTTAATCTATATGTGGTGCTGAGAAGCTAACCCAGTGCCTCACACATGCTAGGCAAGTGTCTACCACTGAGCTACAATCCAGCCCCCTCCCATAATATTTTAATTCCCTTTTCTCTAGTCCCTATAATTATACAAACGTAAATATATATACAGGTATTTTATATATATCTATATCTATATATATATCGTATACGTATACAATATGTGTAGTATATACATATATGTTATATATGTATATTATGTATATTTACTTATTTTTGGTACTGGAGATTGAACCCAGGGCACTTAATCACTGAGCCATATCCCCAACCCTTTTTTATTTTAATTTAATTAATTATTATTTTTTTTGTACCCGAGATTGAACTCAGGGGCACTCGATCACTGAACCACAATCCAAGCCCTATTTTGTATTTTATTTAGAGATAGGGTCTCACTGAATTGTTTTAGTGTCTCACTTTTTTTTTTTTTTTTTTTTTTTTGCTGAGGCTGGCTTTGAACTCAAGATCCTCCTGTCTCAGCCTCCTGAACTGCTGGGACTACATAGAGGCCTGTGCCACTGAGCCCAGGTTTTTTTTTTTTTTTTTTTTTTTTTTTTTTTTTTTACTGTCCCTATCTTACTAAGTTACCCAGGGCCTTGCTGAATTGCTGGGTTTGGCCTTGAACTTGTGATCCTCCTTCCTTGTCCTCCCAAGCAGCTGGGATGAAAGAGGTATGCCACCAGGCTTGGCTGAATGAGAGGTTTTGATAAGAAGTACTTCTAGAAATTTTTTTTTCTTTGTTTTGGGTCCTGGGGAGTGAATTCAGGGGTACTCGACCACTGAGCCATGTCCCCAGTCCTGTTTTGTATTTTATTTAGAGACAGGTTCTCATTGAGTTGCTTAGTGCTTAGTTTTTGCTGAGGCTGGCTTTGAAATTGCCAATGTCAAAATGCATTCTACTGGTGTGTATAAGTAATTAGAACAAATAAAAAAAAGTGAAGGAA